TGGGTTAAAATACTATGAAAATGTAAAAATAGGTTTTAATACCAGAAATACTTTATAAAAAAATATTACCAGCAATATATTTTTGAAAGAAGATATTACCACAATACATGTTTTGAAAAAAAAAATTGTCGGCATTAAATAACCCATTGAGATGTTGATATGCTGCAAAACAAACCAAACCAAATTTAGTGCATCCTTTTAAGATAATGATCATTAAAAGCGAAATTGAAAGATCTTTCATATCGTAAAAGCTTAAGATTTTTGCTGTAGTGGAATGCGTTTTTTTTCAAAATACTTATCATCTTACAGTAATATTTGAAATAAAATATATATACAGAATAGATTTTTTTAAAAGTCTGTCAAAAAAAGAAGAAAAAAAACGAAAAATTATAAATTATTAAAAAAAATATATATATATACAGGACATTACGATAAAGTATGTGACATACATGTAAGTACGCCACGACATTTTCGACTAAATGTCCATTCAGTTAAATGTTCGTCGGCCAAATGTCCGTCTGCGAAATGTCCGTCGGCCAAATGTCCGAGTACTGTTTGTCGTTTTGGTCAGCAAGTGTTAATATCCAACTCCTTCTGTCCAGAAAGCAGAGGAAATGACTAAAATCACCTTCAACCTTTGTGACCTTTGACATCGATGTTTTGAAACTAACCTATTTTCAACTACATTCCAAACAGATTCAGCGATGAGTTGCCGAAGAAGAATTTCCTAGAACAATCTAGAAATTTCGAGAAGTTTCTAGAATTTCTAGAACGTTCTGCGTACCAAGGATCGTACAACGAAGACATGATGGAAGACTATATTTGGGGGTCTGATTCGTGAGAATAATTTACAGTATAAGCGTAAATCACGAAAAAACTACTCTGATCTAAACATCAAATAGAAGCTCCTGTTTGACTCCCGGAAAGTATTGTTTCCTCCACTGCACTTAAAACTGGACCTTATGATACAATTTCTCACAGCTCTAGATAAGGAGTTTGTAGCCTTCAAGTTCCATCAAGACATCTCTAACCTGTCTGTAGCAAAATTTAAAGCCGGTACCTTCGTTAGGCCACAAATAAAGAAGAGCATATAGCGTAAGGGATTCCCCAAGAAGCTCACTAGAACGGAGAAAGCAGCGTAGAACAGATTAGTCGTAACGGCTCTGGGTTTCCGGGAGAATCACCAGGCCGAAAAATGTGTGGACCTTGTTGAGACCCTGGTGAAGAACTATGGCAAAAGGATGTCACTCAAAGCCCATATCATTGGCGCTCATCTTGAAGGAGAACATGGTGGCGTATTTCAGAGGAGCAAGGTGAGCGATTCGATGGGGATATACTGGACTTTGAACGCCTCTACCAAGGATCGTGTAATGAAAACATGAGGGGAGACTATATTTGGAGGCTGATTTGTGAAAATAATTTACAGTATAAATGTAAGTCGCGAAAAACTACTCACTTCTAAATTTTTTTGCGTTCCTTCTTTTGTAATCCTAGAATAAAATAAAAGCTACTTTTGAATCATAAGTTCCAATCGAACAGCACCTCCCCGCAACCCCCCGCTCTGTGGAACCGACTCCCAAGTGGATGTTTCCCTGATCACTACAATCTTAACCTGTTCAAGACTATTCTTAACTGTTATCTTCCCCTCCTCTCCGCACGATATAACCCTCTACTTTGAGTGGCCCTTGAGCCTTGTACAGGGTGAACCTTACTGTTAAAAAATGTCGTTTTGTATCTACGTTGCGTGAGCCAGAATGTTTGAAGGAAATATTAGTCATTTTTCATACATTCTTGGCGCAAGCAAATATGAAATAACAGTTTCTACCCAAGGACAAAAACTCGTGTTACACCGTGTGATATCTTGGCTTCAGCAGCTACATTCTCTTCTTCCAGCTTTGACAGAATTCAAAATTCTAGAGGCGGCCTCGTTTGGAAGACATATTTCTCACTCATGGCAGCCCTCATTCGGACAGACATAATCTCGCCGGTTTATCGTGACACCATTGCTATTTCCATTGCAAATATTCAAATCAACTGCGTTCTTCCACGGAGCCGAATCCTCCACATTCCTTCCCACTGAAGATTGATAGGGCAAAATAATATTTTCCTCTTTCCATGTGGCTTACGGCAAAAACACCGGTTCTCTAACGATCACCGAAGTTAAGCAACGTTCTGCTTGGTTAGTACCTTGATGGGTGACCGATTGGGAATATCAGGCGCTGTAATCTTCGATGTACGGTTGGTATGGTTTACGTCGATATCATGTTGAAAGACCGGTTCTCCTACGATCATTGAAGTTAAGCAACGTTGAGACTGGTTAGTACCTAGATGGGGGACCAATTTGGAATAGAAGATACTGTAAGCTTGGATGTACGGTTGATATGGTTTACGACCATGTCATGTTGAAAGACCGGTTCTCGTACGATCATTGAAGTTAAGCAACGTTGAGACTGGTTAGTACCTAGATGGGGGACCAATTTGGAATAGAAGATGCTGTAAGCTTGGATGTACGGTTGGTATGGTTGACGTCCATATCATGTTGAAAGAACGGTTCTCGTATGGTGGAACCGACTTCCAAGAGGATGTTTCCCCGATCACTACAGTCTTAACCTGTTCAAGACTCTTCTTAACCGTTATCTTCCCCTCTTATCTGCACGATATAAACCTCTACTTAGAGTGGATCTCGAGCCTTGTACAGGGTGAACCTTACTGTTTAAAAAATGTAGTTTTGGTCCTAGTTTGCGCGAACTGGATTGTTCACATTCGACAGTTATCCCAATGGGAATAGATAAATTTCAGAAATATTATAATACTTTTCATCAAAGTTTGAAAGTGATATTAGCCATTTTTTACACTTTCTACGTGTAAGCAGTTTGTAAACAATAATCGTGTTTCACGGTGTTATTTACACTATATATAAGAACACTATGTTATTTGTGGAAGCACCGTGGAATAATGGATAGTGGCCTGGATTGATAGGAATCAGAGAGCCCAGTTCGAATTCCAGTCGAATTCAGTATATTCACTTAAAGGCAAATACCCTTGGGAAAGGTATGAATCCTCGTCTTGTCGTCCACACAGGATTTTATAGCCTTGCATGGCAACTGGTCGACCGCAGAAAGAAATAGCAACCAACTGCTGGAAAAATATCTGCCTCGTCAGTCATGTATTGAAAAATACATGATCGTCTAAGCGTGTATCACGCATGGCAAGATTGACCCTTGGGAAAGGTATAAATCCTCTTCTTCTCTCCCCACAAGCTATGGGTAAATAGTAGGACAGAACGGGTTCTATAACTGGTCGACAGCAGAAAGAAATTGCAACCTACTGCCGGGAAAAATTTGCCTCGTCAGTCATGTATCGAAAGATACATGATCGCCTAGGTGTGTATCACGCATGGCACATAACTGACTGAATGATGTTATTGGCAAAGCTTTCAAAATTTCTGACCATAGACAATCCCTGCCTTCCTGATTTTCAATGCATTTTTCTAATAAAATCATTAAAAATATATTTCTAATAAAAATATAATAATCTACACACTCTATTAGTCATGCTTGCATTAATTCCTGATCACTGACAATCCTTTTTCTTATAATTTTCCATGCATTTTTATAGTAAAACCATTAACAATTTATTAGGTTGTGTCATAAATAATTAATTATCTAGGAACCAATTGTCATGGCGAATGTATCATCCTATCGACTCATCATACGAAAAAAATGTGTGAAAGACATCGCAATCTGCCAATATGGCGACACTTAGAAAAGATAAGGGTAGGCTACATAATTTGGGTGTTTGGACCTCACTCTAAAAGAACAAGAGTTTCATGATAACGACAATCCTACTTTCGAAATGACATTTAATTTTTAGATATATCATAACACGCGATGGTTTGTGGTCTCTCTTGTGTAATCCTAGAATAAATAAATGCCACTTTTGTTACTACTTTGCATGAATAAAAATGTTCACATACACTAGTTTTCCCAATAGGAATAGGCAAATTTCCGAAATATCATTATCCTGGTCAACAATGCAAAGTTTGAAGGAAATAACAGCCATTTGTCATACTTTCTAGGGGTAAGCAAATAGGAAATAATAGTTGCTGTACAAGGACAAAATGCTGTGTCACACAGAGAAATTGGAGACGAGGATACGATTAAAAAAGTCACAGACAGGAAAATTAATGTTACTGGTAGCTCCTGTTTATAAGAGATTAAAAACATTCTAGTGTGGAAATGTTCATCTAGTCAAGAGAGTATTGTCAATGTAAAGAATGTATAAACTGTGTGTATGCAAAGTACCCCTTAATATCAAAATGTGTACATATAAAATATATATATACATTTATCTATATTTCCGAGATGAGGTACTATAACTATTTACGCAATTTACATTGTTCGGACTGTTGCCCTCATCATTAATGCCACATCCATGACCTTTCAGTCGAGGTGCACACTGTCCTTCTTCAGGATATATTATATTTCCGAGATGAGATACAGTAATTATTTACACTATTTACATCGTTCGGACTGTTGTTCTAATCTTTATTGCCACATTCATGTCCTTTCAGTCGAGGTACACTATGACCTTCTTCAAGATCAATCTATATTTCTGAGATGAGTTACTGTAACTAGTTAGACTACTTATATCGTTCGGACTGTTGTTCTCATCTTTATTGCCACATTCATGACCTTTCAGCCGAGGTACACTCTGTCCTTCTTCAGGATATATCTATATTTCCGAGATGAGGTACTGTAACTATTTACACTGTTTAAATTGTTCGGACTGTTGTCTTCATCATTATTGACACATTCAAGACCTTTCAACCGAGCTACACTCTGTCCTTCCTCAGGATGTCTCTATTTCTGAGATGAGGTACTGTAACTATTTACACTACATTATTCGGACTGTTGTCCTCATCCTTATTATCACATTCAAGACCTTTCGGCCGAGGTAAACTCTGTCCTTCTTCAGGATCTAACTATATTTCTGAAATGAGGGACTGTAACTACTTACACTATTTACATTGTTGGGAGTGTTGCCCTCATCATTATTGACACATTCAAGACCTTTCGGCCGAGATACACGCTGTCCTTCTTCAGGATCTATCTAGATTTCTGAGATGAGATAATGTAACTATTTACACTATTTACATTATTCGGACTGTTGTGTTCATAATTATTGCCACATTCAAGACCTTTCGGCCGAGATACATACTGTCCTTCTTCAGGATCTATCTAGATTTCTGAGATGAGATAATGTAACTATTTACACTATTTACATTATTCGGACTGTTGTGTTCATAATTATTGCCACATTCATGACCTTTCAGCGGAGGTACACACTATCCTTCCTCAGGATCTGTCTCTATTTCTGAGATGAGATACAGTAATTATTTACACTATTTACATCGTTTGGACTGTTGTTCTCATCTTTATTGCCACATTCATGACCTTTCAGCCGAGGTACACTCTGTCCTTCTTCAGGATCAAACTATATTTCCGAGATGAGGTACTGTAACTATTTACACTATTTACATCGTTCGGGCTGTTGTCTTCATCATTATTGCTACATTTAAGACCTTTCAGCCGAGGTACACCCTGTCCTTCCTCAGGATCTATCTATATTTCTGAGATGAGGTACTGTAACTGTTTACATCGTTCAGAATGTCCTCCTCATCTTTATTCCCACATTAACGAATACATAGACCTAAAGAATAAGAGCAATAATTTATGTTAACATTTGCCAGTTTCCCCAATAGGAATAGATAAATTTCCGAAATATCATTATCCTGATTGCAAAAGCAAAGATTAAAGGAAATATTAGCCACTTTCGTACTTTCTATGTGTAACAAAATAGGAAATATTAGTTGCTATCCAAGGACAAAGAGTCGTGTTACACAGTTTAATCTTAAGCTCCAACGTCGAAGAAACATTGTTCACGAATTAATTCTTTGCGTTCATTTTGACGTCCTCATACGAAATGGCTTAACAGTGCTAGATAAAAACATAATCTACAATCTATTAGTAGTACTTGCATTAATTCATGAACATTGACAATATTTTTTCTTATAATTTTCGATGAATTTGTATAGTAAAACCATTAACAATGTAGGTTGTGTCATAAATAATTTCTTATCTAGGAAACCAATTGTAATGGCGAATGTATCATCGTATCGATTAATCATACGAAACAAATGTGTGAAAGACATCGCAATATGCCAATATGGCGACACATAGAAAAAATAAGGAATGGCTACATCATTTGTGTGTTTGGGTGTCACTCAAAAAGAATAAAACGTTTCCTTTAATAATATTGACAAGTCTTCTTTCAAAATGACTCTTAATATTTAGATATATCATAACAGGCGATGAAAAGGGGGTTGTATACGACAATGTTTAATGTAAAAAACAATGGATTGAGAAATATAAATCTTCAGAACTGAGCCCAAAATTTGAGCTCCATGAAGCAAAGGTAATGCTGTGATGGGTATTATTACAATCGGAGTATTTTTTTTTCATTTACAGTTATTGAAATACAGTGAAATACTAAATGCACATTTATACTTCCTGCAGCTGCAACGTGTCCATAAAAGTTTGGTCAAAAAGCTCTCTTTAGTAGAAAAAAACGCTGTCCATCTCCATGACAATGCAAGGCCGCATACATCAGGAATAAAAGAGGGAAACTGTTTGAACTTGTTTGGTCTGTTCTACGCCATCCACTTGAACTTACAGTAACTGGCTGCTTCGTTTTTTATTTGGTGGAGAAATGTTTCCTCTAATGAAAACCAGATTAGGGATTTCGCCGAAAACCTTTTCTCCATTAAGACGTATGAAATTTTACTACAAATGTCTCGAAATGCTAGATGTCTGATAAAAGGAAACAAATCAAGTATCTTTCCTTTATAGTTCTTGAAATACATTGAAATACGAAATGCTCATTTATACTTCCAGCAGCTGCAACGTGTCCATAAAAGATTGGCCGAAAAGCTCTCATTAACAGGAGAAAACGCTGCGCATCTCTATGACAACGCAGGGCCGTATACAGCAAGAATAACAGAAGAAAAAAATGTTTGATTTGGTTGGTCTGTTCTACGGCATCCGCCATATCCAACTGACTGCTTCCATTTTTATTTTGTGGAGAAATATTTCCCTGAATGAAAACCGAATTAGGAATTTTGTCGAAAACATTTCAAAATGTCTTAAAGAGCTGCCTGATAAGAGGAAACAAGTCATCGCAGAGAATCTACAGAAATCTGAAGTTATTATTTAAATCACATAAACCTCAATAAACATAAACCTGAATTACTCGAATTTGCTTTGAACAAGTTTTGTCAAATTTTAAACATTTACATTTGACAAAGCTTCAGTTAAATTTTCAGCTTGTTCCAACATATTTCATTAAAGTAGTTGGATTTATTATAAAAAAAAATGGTGTCTGAAGTTATTATGCAAAACTAGAAAATCATTTTTCACTTCAATAACGAGATAATAAAAT